TGTAATTCTAATGCATACTAAAGTATCAGAACCACCGAGCTAAGAAACAATAGAAACAATACCATTTTTTTTGACAGGCAGAGTTAGACAGTGAGAAAGAGAAAGACAGAGAGAAAAGTCTTGCCTCCATTGGCTCACTCCCCAAATGGCTGCTATGGCTGGCGTGCTGCACCGATCCGAAGCCAGGAGCCAGGTGCTTATCCTGGTCTCCCATGCAGGTGCAGGGCCCAAACACTTGGGCCATCCTCCACTGACTTCCCGGGCCACAGCCGAGAGCTGGACTAGAAGAGGAGCAACTGGGACAGAATCCGGCGCCCCAGCCGGGACTAGAGCCCAGGGTGCCAGCACCGCAGGCAGAGGATTAGCCAAGTGAGCCGAGGCACCGGCCAAACAATACCATTTTTTTTTAACTTTTATTTAATGAATATAAATTTCCAAAGTATGACTTATGGATTACAATGGCTTCCCCCCCATACCGTCCCTCCCACCCACAACCCTCCCCTTTCCCACTCCCTCTCCCTTCCATTCACGTCAAGATTCATTTTCGATTATCTTAATATATAGAAGATCAGCTTAGTATACATTAAGTAAGGATTTCAACAGTTTGCTTCCCACACAGAAACATAAAAGTGAAAAAATAATAGATGATTTTTAAATGATGATGAAATCAGATCAGACCTATTGTCATGTTTAATCCCAGTGAGAGTCAAGTTGGGAATTGCTAATTTCTTCTCTTTTTTTTAAAAGAGATTATTGATTCATTTACTCAACAAGCATTTACTTGGAACCAGGCTGAAGCTACAACAAAGAGCAAGTAACAAAAAACCACTTAGTTGCTAGGGCTCTTTGTTTCATTCAAATATGTGCATATTTTTCTAGGTTTAGATAATGTTGGATTCAATTAGATAGCTAGGACATACATTATAGTAGTTTGTTGCTTTACCCAGGAAAATTGTGGGCAATCAAGGATTGGCTTATCTAGTTTTGCAGATGCAGAACTACTGGCTCATGAGCTAACTTTGCTCCATACCTTTGTTTTCTTTGATCAGGTAAGGGGTTTGGAAAACATTTATTTGGCTGCCAATATTTAAAATTTGAACAATAGCACATTAAAATTATATTTCTGAAAAATTATGGAAATATAAGAAGATCACATGAGATAACATTCAGCTAGAACTGACTGTGGCTGGCCAAAGAACAAGGTCTCAGAAGTGCTCAGGGCTCACC